AATAAATTGTCAGATGCTGTTGGTAAACTCTGACTCATTTCCTTGGTGGAAAAAGCCCTGTCAGTACAGCTGGTCCCACCAAGAGAACAGCTTTCCACCCTGAGAGCTTGCTGCTATTGGGAAGGCCCAGGTATCTGAAGATGGATAAGCAGGTGGAGAGAGACCAACCAAGTACATATTCACAAGAAACTTTTCCTTCTCCCAAACGCAATGCAAATATTTGCTTCCCAGAAGTCAACCACAAATTAGTTGAGATCACTCCCACTTGACATCAGCAAACTCCATTCTGTTCATTCCACAATTCAATAATCTCCACTCTCTTCATTCCACAGTTCAACAGTATCCATTCTCTTCATTCCATACTTTGATAACTCACTACGTGGAGTCATTTGGTTCAGTCAATTTTTTTTTACATGTATAGTATTGATGCTTAATGATCCTGGTGACTAAAATATGTTGCAAGGAATATTAGTTCAGAGAAACACCAAAGTATAAAAATATATGGGATAGTGAGAAAGAAAAAGCCATCCTATACCAGCACATTAGAAGTTACTTAACCACTTCTGTGAGTGTCTAAAACCATTAGTGTCATGTGATAGAGAAAACAGCATCCCGCCCAGAACAAACTCAATATTTCTCTAAATCTATTTGCCAGTTAAGTCAAGAGCTGGCTCCTAGTTTTGCAAAGCAATCAGTAACTTAGTCAGCTATGAAATTTCTGGCTGCTTCTTGATATAAGGTCTATTCAATTATTCAGAATTCTGGGTTTAAGGAGAGTTATTATAAGAGCATCTTTGAGAGAATTTTCCAAGAAAATTGTTCATTGTTGTTAGGAAAAACAAAGTTATATTCATTTGCCCACAGTAAGTAACGTCTGGTCTCTGTCAGCAAAGGGTATTTTTTATTATTTCAAACTGGGAAGGTATAGTTAGGGAAGATTGTTAGAGATAAGGAGGGAAAAGGAAAAGATCAAGTGAGGAAAGAAACTAAAGAAAGCATTTATGTTAAAATATATATTTCTACAGGACTTGCTACATTCAACAAAAAAACACTTTCGAAAGCAATAATCTCTCATGGGTTTCATTTGAAAAAAGACATACCTTTAACACTGTATCACCTTGTCTGTAATATTGAGAATTTTGGTTGGAAAAGGATTCATATCCCCACTTGTCTGCTTATACTAAGAAGTGACTATTTCTTCAGTCTTTGACAAGACTTTATGAACAAATAGAGAAATATGATCTACTGCTTTTCTTGGTCTGTGGCCCTTGATTAGCTGAGTCCATTTTACTATTGTGTGTGTGTATTCACGTGTGTTCACGTGTGTGTGTATGTGTGTGTGTGTTTGTATGTGTCCAGAGGTAAAAAATAAAATTATGCCACTGTTATAGCCCAAGTGCATTTAACTATTTTAGTGTCTCAAGATAGTTTCAGAGGCCAATACTATCCTCTGCATAAACCCATTCAGCTAGGTTTGCCTTCTTTTGCTCTTGCCAATGTGCATTTTGCTTCCATGTAAAGACTCCTTGGGAAGATGCCAGTAATCTCTAATTTATGTCCTAATTACACAACCACTTCTCTCCTTGGTAACTTGAAGAAAACAAAAAATGTAAAGTGTAGAGTATTTAACCAGAATGCAGTTCAGAAAAAAACCAAATCAGGAAAAAAAACCAAATCCTTAAGCAGCCTTGCAAATAAAGCAGGAAACATTCCCAAGTCAGCAGCATTTCTCAAAACAGAGTCCACCTTCATGGCAAGCTACACAAGAAACTAAAACTGCACAAATCATTACTTTCCTTACTTTCATTGCCAAGCACCTGCAAGACTAAAAAAAGAATGCTATCCAGATCTGTTCTGAGAAAGCACAGGCCCTCCCAGCAGATGCATTAAGTTAGATAAATACCTTAAAGTTAAAGGAGAAGAATTTGGGACCATTAAAAATATAACCTCTAAATAATCAATGTCCAAAAGCTTTAAATTTCTTTTTAGAATCAAGAAGTACGTCAACCCTTTGACCTAGCTTACCAATAATCTTCTTCAAGCAAAACAAATTTGCAGGCATCACTTCAGCACACATACAACTTGTGTATAAAACACCAACAAGCCCATTAATTTGGATACCCTGCTTTATTGACTGGGTGTTCCTCTCTTAACTTCGTCATCAGACTTCTCCCCAGACTTTCACGCATGCAGCAATATGGGCCATCCTACCCATATCTTTCCTCAAACCCATCTGCCCGTTATGACTTTTGTTTCCTTTTTTTGATTCTCCCTTGCCAAGTGTGGCTCTTCTGCCATCTCTCAGTAAAATCTTCCTCATTTTCATTTTTTAAATATTATCTCAACAAACTCTGAGTCATCATTCACATCCTTTTGCTTTATTTTAGTTGTGCTACCCCAAATACTTCATTGGGTCAAACAGTGGGTCACTTTGTTGAAAATGCAATGGCATTTTCATTGCAATAGCATTTGTCCTGTTGTTTGATTTGTAGTCACAATCAAAGAAAACATGACCATGCATTTATACCTCGTTTTATTGCAGAAAAACTCTAAGCCTGCTTACACAAGTCCGTACAACAAAATAACACAAATTATGGAGATAGATAGAAAAATAGGACAGAGGAGAAATTGAAATGGGAGAGTTAAGATGTCTGAATTTCAGGCTCATGTTGTCAGGTCCACACATGAATCACTCACATCAGTGGTTGAAAGGTTATGGCTCACTGGTCAAATCTGGTCCATTACCTGTTTTTGTAAATAAAGTTTTATTGGAACACAGCCACACCTATTCATTTACATATTATTTACAACTGCTTCCATACTACAATGACAGAGTTGAGCAGCTGCAAAAAGGATCATATAGCCTGCAAATCCTACAATATTTACTACCTGATCCTTTATAGAAAAAGTTGGCAAATGTCTGGGTTATGCGATTCCGGGCCTAGGAGACAAAAGCAAAGCAATCTCCTAATATAAGCACCGTTTTTGTATAGTTCAGAAGTGGAAGAGAAGTTTCTCCTATAACAAGCTCACTATGTAATCTAATTTTTAAAATCTTCACCCATTTAAAAAAAATTTTACAGTAAATACAATAGATTTCCTAGGGCCAGAGGCATGATGTCACAATGCACATCAGTAAAATAACTCTACATGAAGCTGAAACAATGCCTTTCAGGAACAGTTCATTCCTGGTCTGGGCTAATTAAGGACAATCTTTCCAGATGGCAAATGCCAGCTACATGTGCAGCCCTTTCCTATCCTCCTTCTTTAACACTGGCAGATGTGGCAAATGGATCAAGGTGTTCTCTTTTACTGAGCCCCAAGTGTCCTCAGAAGTTTTCTACTAGTTCTCTGGCAGCCTCAACCAATCATCAGCAGTTGGCATGCAAGAAGAAATCAACATGCTGTCTTTGTGGTAAGGCGATTTTCCAGGAACATCACCTTGCCTGGGGGTGGTAAGACTGAGGTCATGCTCTTTACAGAGCTCCTGAAGCACTGTTATTCTATTTTGTCAGAGTACACAGATGTCCCCCTCAATAGCCATCCACATGGAAGGACTGAATTGCAGTCCTCCTGTGGGAACTGGAGCCTGGCAAGGATAGCTGCCTGGCGGGAAGCCCCCAGCATACCTACACACATATGGGCCAGGGGATGCCTGCAAGCAGGGTCAGGAGTCTCCTCCAGAAGAGAGGTTAGGCCTGCTCCTCTGCATGGAACAGCAGGGGTTAGGGCCACATAGGACAGCACAGCATTCTGTCTGGGAACGTTCACACCTAGTACCCATGCAATTTGTTCAAAGAAACTAAGTCCCCAACACGTACCACCTAGACCCACCCATCTTGTTATACATATATTCCTCAAGAACTCCCCAAGTGACAAGGTTTCTAAAATAAATGCAAATACACTGGAAAATGTGATTTCTAAGAAACTACAATTAAATATTGGAAAATGATAAAACAACTGACTATGGATTTAGAAGAACATACTGTAAACCTTTTACTATACCTATTCCTTCCTTATGACTATAAAACTATGTCATGAATTGATTACATTTCTAGTGAAACAAAAATGTTAGCTGTCTTTAAAAGGTCTTAAGTATGCAAACTTAAGAGAATTAGAACTATTATTATGTTATCACACTGGAACTTGCCACAAACTACACTTGACTCCTATCCATGTTGTCAAAGGGAGAGAAAAAGACAAAATATCACCAATCATCTTACAGTTTTCCAACATATTTTTCCACAAGGTGATCAAAAAAGTACAAAACCAGTAGAAGTAAAACACCCATGCCTTAAACTCTTCCTTATCCTTATGGGTTTGGGGCTGAACTATAGAAAAAACCAACTACTAGTAAGTAAAACATAACCATGTTGACAGCAGACTTAAACAAATGTGATAGGTCAGTGGAAAACATATTTTTTTAATCCTAAAAGGAGCAAATACTTTCCATTTACTCTTCCACTAACAATGCTTAGGGTTCAGTTCCAGACCTCTTAAGGTCACATCTGGGCACATGAGAATGTGGAAAACTGAGACTCTGTGTGGCCTTAAAGGAAAAAAAAGCAGAAGGAAAACTCTTGAAGAGTCAGTACAAACACACAAGTCACAGGTACTTGGCATGCTCCCCTGGAAACAAGCACAGATATACCCAATTATACACTGAATGGACGTGCACAGAACATCAATAAAGAACATTCTGGAGGGAAACAAAAGCAGCTGTGTATCAGCTATGGGCTGATCACCACTTCTCCAGACAATCATGCAAGCTTCTGTGCCCTTTGATTTGCACTGAGCCCAAGTTGGACACCAGGATCAAGTGAATGGAGCACCACATCATCTGAAAAGACACTTTCACAATATCGAAGGTCTTTAAAGTTGTGCTTCCAAAAGACTGCCATCCCAAATGACCAGAATGCATGGTACCTCTGCCAGAACCTTGCAGGCAACAACACTTGTGCTAGTTTTTTTTCAAGACAGTTATTAAGGTTCCTACTTACGTAATGCATACAAAGTGAGAATTATTCCAGCCAGGCAAAATCCTTCAAAGAACCTGAGTGTGCTGAACATTGTCACATTCACTGACAGTGCCACAGTCAGTCCAAAGATCAGAATGAAGATGATGGAAAATAACAGCACAGGCCGCCGGCCAACCCTGCATGTGAAGAAGGAAAAGGTTAGGAATTATTGTGAAACATGGTAGTGATGCTAGATGCTGAAACCCAGTATCCAGCAGCTAGTGTGCTAGACTAAAAGTCTTTATACCATCTAGACCCACTTCACTAGGTCACAGAATACCAGGGTAGAAGGCCCTTGGGAAGGTTCAGCCCAATCCCTAAATTCTGGAGATAAGGGAGCAGAGATCAATCGGTTACTGGGTAAGAGAATTGAAACATGAACCCAATTCCTGTTGCTGAGTCTATTTCTGAGTGTATAAGGAAATAAATCAAGGCAAGAGGAACAAAATCAATAATAACTCCCCAAACATGAACCTTGACACACTCGGCATAAAATGTCTTGAGAAACCACTGACCTTTGGATTGAAAATTAACATGGGCACTAAGCAAAGTGACTTTATTTGCTTTCTCTAGGTTGTTTACTAAGTCAGGTACCTGATGCTACACGCAGCCTGTCAGAGCCAGGGCCAAGCCATCTATCTGCCAATTTGTTTCAGATACACAATGAGAAGTAATTTTAAGGGATCATATGCTAAGCTAAGATGGTGTGAGCTTTAAATACCTAGTGTGGACCAGATAGTGAGCTAATAGTGCTGTCCCTGGGCAGCGAGGGCCTGGAGGGAGTCCTCCTGGTAAGGAAGGCACAGGCATGCTAAATTCAGGCGTTAGGAAGCTGGCTGGTGCCAGGTTGGTGACCACTAGGGGGCGACGTGCTGCTGGGGGTGGCTGGGAGGACAGTAGGGGGTGGTCCTTGGGAATGAAAAACTCACCAATTCTCCATCCCTCCATGCTAACTTTCCACCTTTCTCCTCCTTAACTCATTAGAAATAAAACTGCAACAACAGCTTTCCATTAAACAAACCCCGCTTGGTCTAGAAGTATAACTCACAGAGAAACTGGGACAGAGTGGATGCCATTTGCCAAAACAAAAAAAGGGGGTAAAAATCCAGACCTAGTACCTCAAACACCACAAAGGGTCACTGAATGACTTGAACAGTCCTAGACTGTTCAATATAAGGCATCTACATACAAGTCAAATGCCCAGAAAAGGCAAATATAAAGAAATAGAAAGTGGATTCATGGCTGCACAGGGTTGGGGATGAGACGGGGAGTGACTGCAAATGGTTACACTTCCTTCATCCTTTGAGGGTGATAAGAATGCTTCAGAGTGTGGGGATGGATGGAGAATTCTGTCAATATACTAAAACTCACTGAATCGTGTGCTTAAAATGGGTGAGTTTTATGGTATGCAAATTATCTGTCAATAAAGCAGTTAAAAAAAAAAAAGTGGGCATGCGCCTACCATATGAAGGGGTGGATATAATTTATGAAAATCTAGGGAAAGGAAAAACAAGACAGAATTTCATCAGAACTTTTTAAAGTTCTAACTATCCCCATCAGTCGCTTCAGTTTGGTAAAATGAGGCCAAGGCTAGGAGCTCAATACCAACGTAAGGCAAGTGTCTCATCTGGAGATTTTCGCCATTATTTTCCTTAACCAATGCTGGGGTCAGGCAGTCCTTACTAGGAAACATTGCCAGATGATTTTATCCAAACCCAACTCACAGAAATAATTTAAAATATGACTTAGTCATCCTCCTAAAATGAAGGAAAACAAAATCTGACGTATCCACCATTTTTATTTCCCTTTACATCCCTCATCTGGAAAATGGGGATAAGCATCCCACTTTGTGGAGCATTGGATGATGGGCACAAACCCAATGCCAGCACAAAGCAAACAGTTAAATACTTTAGCTCTCATTCTTTCCTGCATTTCTACATTCCTGATAACTATCAACATGGTCTGCCCTGTTTTGATACTTTAGAAAAAATACTCGACTTTTTTAATCTCGTAGAAGCATTCTAAGTCTCTCCCTCTCAAATGTTTCTAAAATCAGTAAGTGGAATTTTTCAGTAGGGACAAAGGGCAAACATGGTCTTTGAAGTCAGATTGTGCTGATTTTGGTCACCACTTCTGAATGATGTAACCCTGGGAAAGGCCATGCTTATTTAAATAAGCCTTGTGGTCCCGTCAGTCCAGCCAGTCAATGCCTACCTGATAGGGCTTTCTATAGGTATGGACATCAGCAAGTGAGTCAACAAGTGCTGAACAGTTAGTTGCAAGCATGGGAGTTTCAGTATGAACTGGCTCTCTTAGAGATGACTGAGAAAGCCACATCTCTCAGTCTATAATGCAGAGGATTTTATCACTTAGGATCTGTGGTGGGTAGAATAATGGCCCTTAAAGATGTCCATGTCCTAATCCTCAGAACCTGTTAATATTTTACCTTTCATGGCAAAAATAATTCTGCAGAGCGATTAAGCTTAAAGACCTCAAGATGAGGTGATTTTCCAGGTTGGTCCAAGCTAATGACAGGGAGAACTCCCCCCAGCTGCAGGGAACCAGAGAGATAGTAGTATGAGAAGGACTTAACACCATTGGTGGCTCTGAAGATGATGGAAGGGGCCAAGAGCCATGGATGCTGGTGGCCGCCAGAAGCTAGAAAAAGCAAATTGTCTCCTGGAGGCTCAGGAAATGGATACAGCCCTGCTTACACACTGATTTTAGCCCAGTGAGACCCTTATTGGACTACTGAACTACAGAACTGTAAGATCATTAATTCGTGTTTCAGAACCCACCAAGCATTCAGTAGCTTGTTACAGCAGCCACCGAGAACTGATTCAGGGCCTTGACAGGAGACAGAAGTCCCACTTAAATGAAATGACTGGAGGAGATTTTAATAATGGGATTATCTACAAAAGAGTGAGCAAACTGACAGAACCCACAAGGGACACTGTGTAACCCTGCAGCTCTTAACAGCAGGGAGTGTGGGGGAAGCACTGTCCTGGGCCCCAGAGAGAGAGGCGCTGGGGAAGGCACGGACAGCAGGCAGCTGGCCCTTCTGGCCCTGCAGTGGCCACGCTGGGCAGACAAATGCCTGACCTTAGTCTCCTCCTCCAGAGGATCTGCGGCTGGTGCTCCTGCTGGCCAGGAGTGGGAGGGCAAGGGGTCCTCTGGTGCAGCCCAGAAGGGCAGCTTCCCGGGGGGTACTGGGGACAGACAGAAAAAGCTGCTACTGTGACAAATGAGGCAGGGAAGGAGGGTGCCCACAGAGCCATTGGCCGGCCGGCCCTCCCATACATCCTAACTAAGAATTCTATAACAATCTCCAATGCATATTAGTACACAAAATGTGGCATTAAAACCAGTAACTTTTCAAAGGAAGAAATGTCCTATTTAAATGTGATTATGTGCTGACGGCAGTCTTAGAGAGCTGACTGTAGGATTTGATCAACTTCCCCATGCAGCCATGAAATGGGGCCCACAGCTGTGAAATCTGGAGTTCCCTTTCAGTGGGTCTATTTCCTTTTAAGCAAGGCTCAAGAAGGGAGCCAAATGCCAACAAACAGAGTTGGAAAACACCAAACTTTCAAACTGACACGGAGGCCTACTCCAAAATGTTCAGAAAGCCACCCCATTTAGCAGAACAGACTATCCTGACTCCCAAGGCAGTCCCCAACCTTGCCCATTTGGCAAGGAGCCTCAGAAAAGTGACTTCAGAAAAGTGGGTTTCCAGTGTCCGATTTCTGTTTACTAGCAGAGCAAGACCTAAACTCTTTTGATTTTTGTTCCTGGGTCTGGTATATGATCAGGGAGGCTCTGGGTCTGGTATGTGATATACCATGTGTATGTGCAAAAATAAGAAGTCAAGCACACACACATACACACACACACGTACGTCTAAACAATTTAAACCTTCACAGATTAATTCATTAATATAAGTCTATATTTACTTTCCTATTGAATTATTTATTAACTAAGGACACTAAAACCCCAGTTGGGTCTGCATTTTTTAGAAAGAAGGTGGCATGGATTCTATATCTTCCTAACGTACTTCAATGCAGATTTCTGGGAAACAGTATCTTTTAGATCAATATAACACATGCTGAAAACCTATGAACTCAAGTATTTGGTTCTAAAAAAAACCCATGTCCCCATAACCCCAACTCTACCAAAAACGTCCCCCAGGGGACCCCCATATAGATCTCCATAGGTCACTGACTACTGCTCTGGTCACAGAGAACATGATATGAAGCATTTACAAATGATGATGAAGCAGATTCCAAGCACAGAGGAAATTATTTGGTAAGTCAGTGCAAGGAATTCCCAAATAAATGCTTGCTTTTGAAAGAAATTTTCCGCAACTTTGAAGTGGCCTCAGAACCTTCCGCTGCTGTCCCCTCACCCCTGGCTCTTGTCTTGGCCAGTGTTCTCAGCTAAGCAGGATACAGAGGGCATCATGAGGACCTACAGAGATTGTTCCCTGTCACTCTTGGCCCTTATTATGTCATCGAACCCCAGATGTCCTGATCCACCTAAATAAATAAATAAAGTCTTTACAGATAAAACAATGTAAGATGTCCCGAGTCACCTAAATAAATACACAAACAAACAAATAAATAAATAAATTATTTGCAGATAAAACAATTAAGTGAGGGAAATAGTTATACCATGCCTGTTTCCTTAGCAGGCTCATTACTTGAAAAACCTGTCAACATTGTGCAATTGCCTCCCTGCTTAGACAGTTGCCGCTGCTGCCCTTGTGACCACAGAATGCCTTAAATAAAGCTGTTGCAGCACTCTGGTGGAAAGGCAGACTCTGGAGCCATGTGGTTGAGTTTCAAGTCCTGACTCTCCAACTTAATGCTGAGTGAACGTGGGGATCTGACTTAAACCTGTGTGCTTTGGTTTTCAACTATAAAACAGAGGTAATAATAGCATCTACCTATTAGGGATATCGTGAGATTTTAAAGTCCAGAAATACTTAGCACAGTGCCTGCTACACAGCAGTAGTTCAACAAGTGTTAGCTGGATGTCATCATCATTATTGTCATTAATGTCTCCACTACCATCATCTTTCCCACCCAGCCTCCATTCTACTAGTCTCATCACTTCATCCTGAACTACGTACCTTGCTCCAGGCACCCAGACTTTCTTAGCCAGCCACAAAGCATATCCATTCTCACCTCTGGCTACCTCCCTTCCCATGCCTGCAGAGCTCATCCATTAGTCAAATGCTGTCCATCTCTCAAGGTCCAGCTCCCCATGGAGCCCACAGAGGCATCTCCTGGCAAAGCCAAGGTCTGTCCCCCCTCTGTCCCCCCATAGGATGTTCTAAGGTGCTAATTAGCACTGCCTTAGTCAGTTCATGTGGGGGAAGTGTCTTCACCTCCCCCTTCCCCCATTTTCTACTTTGTCTTCTGCATCCACCCCTCAGCACCCTGCCCATGGAGTCCTGTACCTAATTCTCCATTAAACATTGAACATCAGGAGGAGATGGGACTGTAGGCCACTTCTGTTAGAGTCTAGCAGCCCGAGAATTTCTATGAGTTTAATTTGCACATCTGAAATGGTCTACTCCATGCACAGGCCATCTTTCTGAGCTCTGCATTCTCCAGTGGCAGAGTAGGCCTTCTGCTCTGGTGCTGACACCAAGAGCAGAGAAAAGAGTCAGTAACAGTAAGCTAACACCCACCACTTCTCTTTAGCAGCACAGGTGTGCTGTGGCTTCCAAAGGTTTGTGTAGCGGGCACGTTGGTACTCACCAGTCAGCAATGCATCCAGTTATTAGGTAGCCAAAGATTAATCCAACCAGTAAGGAGAACTTAGCGATATGGACCTTCCAGGCATTATCACACACAAGATCCCACTAGAGAGGGGCAAATAGAAAATAAATCAGAGAGAAACATATACAGAGCTGGTCGTACTCAATCATAAGGTCAATATAACAACCTGTAGGGACCATGGCACCGCTGCTAGTACTTTGTCACATACACCATGAAGAGTCTCTCCCACAGTTTTGAAAATTCAATGAGAAATATAATTTGCCCACAAAAGGAAATGTAACTTTTTTTGTTCACTCTAGGACAGATTATCTATACCATCAGGGGTATAGATGGCTGCAAGGAGTGATGCCTAAAATCTGGGATGTGTGTTCTTCTATCCCAGCCACCATGGGGAATGTAAACCAAGGTGGGAGTATCAGCTAGGAAGTCAGGGCATCCCTGAGGACCAATGCCCCCTCTTACCCCACAGAGCTGCTCAGATGACCCAGGGCCAGGATGGCCCTGACAACTTTCTACATGGGGTCAACACAAGGAAGCTAAAAGTAACTTTTGCATTTTCATCCCAAACCATGAGTCTTAAAAATAAAGGCAAGAGTTATGGTGAATGTAGAAATATGAACTCTGACTAAGCATTCTTATTTTTTCCTTGAAAATGTTGCTTGCATTTTCACATATTCCCCTGTAAAACTATCAGTACTACTTGGAGAGAAAGCCAATCAATTAGCAAATACAACATTCAGACTGCTTTTGACTATTGTTTTGCATTTAATAAGAAAATAAAAACAATCTTCTAATTAATTTTTCCATTTACAGAAGCAAGAGAGAAACTCATGTTTGTTCCCTCTAGTGATGTGTGTCCAAGTGTGTGCTCGAATTCACACACAGCTTGCATCTGTCAGACAGGCAAATGAGTAAGGTCCCTGCAGGCCAGGCCATGAAGACTGCAGGGCCTTGCCTGCTGTTCTGCACCTTTGCCCACCATCACGGGTATAGATGCCTTCCTTCTGCTGGAAAGACCTTCTTCCAGTTCTGGGCTCATTTCTGGATCAGTGGAGATGGGGGCGTTGAGGGGGAGCTGGAGAGATGCAGGACAAGGAAGGGGATTTGGGAATGCCAGAGCATGTTCCGGAAGTAGAGACAGGATTTATGGGGGTGGGGTATATGGCAGGCATTGGGCTGAGCCCTGGTCTCAACTCTGTCTTCTTAGATGTCTGCCCCTATCCTCTGGTCTGTCCCTTTTGAGACCTAGAGAATTCTGGGAGGGTGTTGTAGGCTCAGGTCCTGCCCTGTCTCCAAACTTATGGAAAGTCCGATGGAACCCAGAGTTCACAGGTGTGGAGCTCAGCTTCAGTGGGATCTGGAAAAAGCAGAGCTCTGCATCTGTAGATGCGGAGTAGGACATCTGGTCTGGACTGAGTAGAAAGGTGCTACCTGACTCATTGTTCCTACTTCTGCCCTGGACTTCCTGGAACACTCACTTGCTCACTGATGCCCCCAAGGCAGGCTTGACTTTCCAAAGACCTGAGGAGGGTGACTTATTCTTCTACCCCATCTGCTTTTGGAGGGATCTGCAATACCAGAGGGATCAAGAAGAAAGGGAATAGGAATGTAAGCACAGACCGCAAGAGGGCCTCGGCAACAAAGGATAGTTTGGGACTTGTCGAGATGTATCCGAATGTTTGGGAAGCAGAGCCCTGCTAGTTGTACAAAGTCTTATGAAGAATTCAGAGGCTAACTTCCTTTGATGACTACTTCATCCTCAAACTGTGCTCCAGAGACCAGCAGCATCAGCATCTCCTAGGAACTAGTTAGAAACTGCAAATTCTTGGGTCCCATTCCAGACCCACTGAATGAAAACTCTGGCAGGAAAGCACAGTCACATAGCTTAACAAGCCCTCCAGGAGATTCTGAGAACAACCGCTGCCTCTATCCTGCCTTATCCCTAGTACCTTGAAGACAATGACTGAGCTTCACTGTCCTGGGCTGGTTCAATCAACTCCCAAGAGCAGGGAGAAACTGAAATGCTGTGTGAACAATGTTCAAGACTAATGCAGGACTATAAAGCTAGGTAATGAGTTAAGCGGGTTTTTGGAGACAAGCCTGGAATACCAATATTTATGTATGTGCTGTTTTTAGGAGGAAATGTATTTTAAGTAATAAAGGGCTTCCAGCATGCAACCTATTTACAACTTCAGGGATACAGGTGTTGCTTTAAAATGCATTATAGCATCATAAGTAATAGTGGGTGTACTGTGCTTTCCACCTAAGTTTATGCACACTGGAAGAGGTAGTACTTCCAACACCTGTAACCACTCATCTCCCAATCACATTCTTGGCAAGAGAGAAGCATGCTCTGAACCCAGACTACTTTGCGGGGATGGGCACCAGCTGCTGTCTCAATGGCAGAGAATCATTTCAAACACTTTCATGCCTCCACCAAGACTTCCCATCTCAGAGTTCACTTGAGTCAAAGAATACAAATGAGTATATCACGTTTATAGGAGATGGTCAGAAGACAAAAAAGACTTTAATAAAAGCACTCAGGAAAGTGGAGGAAATTGCCAATACTGTTGTGACTTCAGCCACCTGAACAATGACCAGGCTTGACCTTGGGTGCCACGGCCCAAGTTAGGTGCTACCTAATAAGATGTTCAGTGGTCACCTCAGTGCAACACCTGTCAATTACCAATGTCAGAGTGGAAAATGAAAATAGTAGAGGATGACTGAGACACTCACATGGATGGCAGGCATGGAGACTGGTTAAAAGTATTTGCTGGTACCATGGCTCTCAGCCTACGGGCACTTATGCACCTGGGAGAGGCGGTCAGAGAACTCAAGGCAAGGCGGCCACCTGGTACCTTAAACCCTCCTCAATCAGGCATAAAAATAGACAGCATATCTAAATTAACAAGCAAACCAACATGGACTCCAGGGCCCAGCAGGTTTAACAAGATAAGGGTTACTCAGGCCTGGTATCTGCCTGAAACACTACCCTTGCCTGCAGTTCAGCAGGGCAGGGTGGGGCTGGGGAACCCATAGAGCCAGCACCCTTGTTTGACTTCTACTTCTGGGATTGACAAAAATGTACAGGGAAAAGAAAATATGTTCAGACATAGTATTATCTCCTAAAGAATTTCAGAAGTGTGAGGAAGTTTTGGTATCACCTGGCTCTCGAAATTTGTTCACATTGCTATAGATAAGAGATGGCAAACTAGTCATTTCACTGAGTGATGTTGAAAGCAATTTATAATTTTTAAGATTAAAAAAACCTGACAGGAGTAATGCTCTAAAAAGTGCATAGTCAGGACTTCCCATAATGGTAACATATTTTGTCTCTTATGCCATCCTTGTCACTTCCTTCCCCATCACACCAATTGCCAATTCTGGCAGATGCTTACTTTCACACATATCCCAAACATGTCCCCCATGCTCCATTGCCCCTCTGGGCAACCTCACTTATAAGAACATGGTAGGCACTCACTCATGTGATTCAAGCTTCCTTTTGGTGTGTCCTTATAGTGTGCGCTGGAAGGCTAAAAACACATTTCCAGACTGTCGTATAGCTGCAGTTTCAAATGTGATTTTGGTCCTGCCAATCAGGTACACACCCTAAATTAAGTTTCCATGTGCAACCTAGTCTAATATCTGGAATGACTTGAATTTGGAAGAGTGAGGGACATACATTTTACTGCTCAGTTCTGGCAGGAGCTAGGTGGCCCGGGAGTCAACAGCTCTGGAGATGGCTAAGGAGGTATGATCCTGGAGTCGGGAGGTTCCCCAGCCTCCAGAGACAGTTTCCTGGGCAGGCTAGCCCTCTAGCCAGGAATCCTTCGGGAGGCCCAGTTTCCAGCTCCTCCAGCAGCTCAGTAAACACTATTTCCCTGTATTCAATTCCTATCTCCTAAATACTGAGTGACTTCTGTTATTTACAAATTGAATCCCATTCCCTGATTCAGTTTCCTTGAAACAGAGTTTGCAGGGGATAAAGACAAGAAGATGGGTCAAGTTACCACTCTCCCTTCTCCTAAGCTAATTCAAGAGTTTCCTTGCAGTGACTCCAGTCTCCCTCAAATCCCTTCCCTAGAGAACAATGAAAACAATACTTTAATTAAGCATGTTAACAATTCATCAGTAGGTTTAACAAGGTCCTAAAAGCGTTAAAGTCATGGCACCATTTCATAATCTTGAGTAAGCTTTCTTTGCCATTGTTCTAAGATCAGGGACATTCTATAGTGATGCCATGTGGTGATATAAGTAACTCCAAAGAGTATGTCTACCAGTTACATACCACTCATTAGTTGCTACCTGGCCTGTTAAAAAAAAAAAAAAAAGAAAAAAAAGGGCAGAGGTTATAGAAAATCTGGTAGACTTTTTATAACTATAAACATTGAGAATAAGCTTAAAAATACAATTTATATTATTTTAAAAGATATAATTGAATTGCTTGACTTGCTAGAGTGGAGAAACAGTCAAGGAAATGAATGAAATTTCTAAATAGGGTGGAATATAAATAGGAGATAAGGTAAACAATCTTATTTTCAACAGTAATGAATTCCATGATCAAATAAAATGTAAAACAAGAACATAAACAAATTGGAAGAGAATAGATTACTTCTCTGATTTTGAAGTAAAGCCGAATCTCTAAAGACAAAAAATAAAGGGAAGAAAAAACTACCTATGGAAACATCTGGTAGATTTTGTAGCAATTTAACTGTTGCTACATCATTATTAATTTTAATTATTATTTAAAACTTCCATGCATTCAAATACCATAAACATAACTATAAAGCTCTAAATTTGTAGAATATATTGACAAGTTTAACACCCTTAATATTTAATGAGCATTTACATATCAATATACACCAATTCTCCAACTAGAAATGGGTTAAGCACCCAGACAATTGACAAAACATGAAATACTTTAAAAATAGTTAAAAAGACACTTGGGAAATATTTGATTCTGCTAATGAAAATCAAAACACAATGCTTTGTTTTTCAAGAAAAATTTTTAAAATTTTCTAAAGATGTGAAATAAACAAAGAAGTGCAAATCTGTATAAGGAATACACATAAGTACTGTTTTT